TTCCTTGATGTGTCCAATTGGTCCGCGGGCTGCATGATCGGATTGATGCGTGGAGAGTGGCTACGTCCCCCACGCCACGATCTGGCCATGCAGAATGTAGGTACTCCCTCCCCTTCTTCTTTCTAAGTCTTTGCAATTCCGTGTCCTTCGTGCATGCATGCACGCTATAAATTTCGGATGCGCGATTAGATAGCTCTCTTAAAACAGCTGCTGGAAGCTCGGGGTAGCGCGTTCAGTGAGGGTCGGCTCACGAGCGAAGTAGAGGTGAGTTGAAGTGGGAGTTGGGCGACCCAATGAGCTGGTGCCGAATGTACGGGGTTGACGCGCGGGGCTACGACGGACTGTAGCACGTGGGCGAACCTGACGGGTACAGGAGGACTAAGCAGGGTGACAACTTCGTGGGTTGGTGCGTGACAACGGACTGTCCGCATCGGAGAGAGAGAGGGAGGGAGATGGATGGGCGTGGAGTTGCAAATTTCTTTGTCTTTTCCTTTGCTTTTGTGTATAAGTTTTGACTTCGGCTCGGGCAATTCGCCCTTATTTCTTCTTCGGCATCTTTGTCTCGTTGTTGGCCCTCGTGTGGTGTCTTATTCAGTTTCGAATCTTTCGATCCTTCCTCGTTTGTGTATATTGCATGGACGAAGTCCTGATGGAATGATATGCTTGTCGTTTTTACCTCATCATCATCGTTGCTTGCCACTTTGATCTGCTGTCGTCACGATAAGAGTTTGACGATTATTGCGGTGCCTGATGTGTGCGATGTCATTTTTGCATGATCGGAAATGATTGTTTGCGGGATCGCTGAATGATTAGATGATTGGGTGGGTATCTATGCCACGTGGCGATTTTGCATGTAGGACTGAAATCCCACTTTTGCATGAAAGACAGCCAACTGGCCCGCACACGATCGAACACTTAGTGTGCGGACATGTAAGCGCGATCTGATCAATGCGGCCTACACGTGGGCGATTACACGAGTCTGCAGAACCTGCACACAAACGATGACAACATTTTCGCCGGAATGACAAGATGTCGCACATCTCTGGGTACCGAGAACACTGGGAGGAAGAACAGCTAAGGCTGAGACATCTGAAATTCCCCTGTCTAACCGAGAACGACCGACTGTGTGCCAGGGACTTCCGGCGCGCCATAACCAGCGACCCGAGGGCTCCCGACTACCCTACTACTTATAACAACAATATTTTATATCCCCCGGCTCCGTCGTTATCGCTACCAATTTCCCTCCCTTCCATCTGCTCCTCCCCTACCGCCAACTCATGGTGGTACAGTGGAATTCCATAGCCCCATATTGGCCCCACACGCCGTGCATAAATTGCAGACGGCGCGGCAACCGCCGAGCCTCTGGAATTACGGAGCCTAAACATAATGCGCGACGGTAATCGCCACGTGTCCACGCCCAAAGGTCCGACCCATAGAAATTGCAACCCTCGCGAGCGAACCTCTCCCGAACCGCCGTCACTAAAACGGGCGGGTCGGACGGCCCAAGATGCACCGCGCATGCCATCTGCCTTATGCTACACGACATCGACCGCCATCAGACCGAAAGTAACCCGTCCCTTAGCCTCCTTGCACCTATGCCCCTGGAACCTTGCCAGAGGAGATTTCAGTTCTGACCTAGGACTCCACCCCCAATTTCCCAAAAATCATTGGCACACCCCTTTTCGCACTTCCAGGCCCACATCCCACTCCGATCAGGAAGTCGCGTCGGGCGTGAGGTTGGTATCGGAGCCGACATGTGGCAGGATTGTAGGATTCGTAGGACGATAACTGAGATCGAATCGATCTGGCTAACAAGGGGCGACCTCGACCCCGGAACGCGCATCGACACGACCCCGTCGTCACAAGAAGCCGACCTGCGGCTCGACGGGCGACCAACATGAATGTCAATCAACAGAATCCGAACCCGCAACAGAACGCCAATCAACAGCCAAATCAAAATCAACCCGTAGCGCTTGCGCAGGCACTTGTGGCCACACCCGATCTCTATTTGTCCGATCCCGCTCACCACCTTGCTGGAGCATGGCTGGCCACGCTCCGAGCTCGGCAGTACGATGACAACGACGCACAGGTAAACATTGCCGCTCGATTAGGGGGAGACGCTCATCATTGGTTCAACACCTACGTATGGGTTGATCTCCTGACCTTCGAACGAGACTTTTTGAACCGATTTGATTATGTCTACCCGGAACAGGCCCTTTTTATGATTAAAGATCGAGTTCAAAAACCCCTCGAGTCTGTCGCCGAGTACCGAAACCGATTCTATCGAATGTTTGTAAAAACTGAACGAGGCGAACAGGTAGGAAGAAATCTGTTTATTGATGGACTTCGCAGCCGAGCGATGAGGGCGAAATTGCAGAAACAGTTCTCCCCCATCAATCACATGCTGCAACAGATCATGGCGGCCGCAGAAGAGATGGAACGTAAGTTCGCCGCGAGTTTCCTAGAGGGAGAGGATTATCCCAGGGAAGGAGACTCGTCCGAACTGGCGAGAGCCAAAGCTGAGCTGGCTGCATTACAGAATAAGTTCGAAAACATGGGTTTTGTGTCTGGTGCGGTCACCTATCCGGAACAAATCACCCCCAAACGACCGGCCCCGAGTGTGATCTCGAGCATGCCTATCCCTGTAATGACAGCACCCCCACCACCAACAGAAAATTCCGCACGGACAAATGAGTCAACCGCCTTATTGGAACTAACCAAAACATTAGTCAATCTGATCCAGGAAAGCAAAAAGGAACAGCGGGAACACAATGCTCGAATTGAGGCAATGATGAGGTCGATGCGACCGATAGCGGTATGTGCCGCCCCGATTCAACACGGGCTGGCTCCAACACCCCCTCTCGGAGGGGCTGCTGACAATTTGAACGTCTGTTACACGTGTCACCAACCTGGGCATATAGCCCGAGACTGCCCTCATCGACCCCCACTACCACGGATCAGAGCCGCACCACTAGCAGCAGCCCCAATCGCTAACGGACAGGGACAAGTAGGAGCGTTAATGGAAGAAATGGAAGGAGGAAGCGTGTGAGCTACTACGGAAGAAGCCGCGGAGCTCATCCCGTTGGATCAGTACGTAACGCTTGGCTATCCAGGATTGGGCATGATCGGAACGATCAGGCCCGCACCCGAACAAAGGGAAGTGGCGGAGTGGAGACCTTCTCCAGGAGAAATGGAGTCGGGAGGACCCACCTTCGTCACTGGGGAAATCGACGTTTTGAACATTGTACGAGCACTAGATCATCGGATTCCTCTTCCGATCGGTCATCTATTATCGATATCAGAACAGGCCAACGAACGCATGCTACAACACTATAAGGCAAACCGGAAGCAGTTCGCCCTTGCCCGCACAACAAACACGAAAGCAAAAAGTCCAATATCGGACGAACCCGCTGCTGGTACTTCGGATTCGATACGCTTAGGACTAATCCAAAAAGATGACCACTTCCTACGGATTAAAGCGATTCCGTGGAAATCCACATAATGTGACATCGAAGTGTGGGGAGTCCTGTATAATGCCATTATCGATTCCAGAGCAGCAATTCTAGCTATCTCATTACGGGTGGTTGAAAGGGCAGGAAGAAAGAAAGACCTGATTATGCTTACGGAGAAGGATCAACTCGTCTCAGCAGATGAGGAAAAAATAAAAACAGTGGGATGAATGACCAATGTTGCTTTTCGATTGGGTAAGGTGCACGCCCTGGGAGATGTCGTAGTGTTAGACGTTAGCACTTATGTTCTCTTGGGCCTGCCCGCTCTGATGGCCTTGCGAGCCAATCTGGACTTCGAGAAACGATCGATTATCCTCTGGATTACGGGGGGGAAAACCCACCGCCCTACCTATGAGGATGACCCTTCGTACTACCACTAATGTAGCTCAACGAGTTTCTCGGATAATGGCGGGAGCTCTCCGCGTGATTACCTGGGAAAACCCCGCGGATGATGATCAATCATCGAAGGACGCAGACAACAGCGATGAGGATGATGCGGTGATTCTGGAGCTAGCACAACAGCGCATCTACTATCCTGCGCAATGAGCCTGCACGAGACCACTGAGCCTAACCGATCGGCACTTGCAAAGAACGCGAGCAATGATTCTGGGTGAGCCCCTCATACAGATATCGCGGATGGTCGATTCTTTGGAACCCCCTTGAACCCTGTACGAAGGCATCTCCCCTCTCCTTGCGCGATATAATGATAAGAGACAGTTCTGTGACATCACGAGTTTGCCACGATCTCTTTTGACACCGGCAAAAGAAATACGGTTGTTACGCTTAGGGGCAGAGGCCAATACTTTGGAACCCCCTTAGCGCCTCGAAACTGTATCTAACTAACTCGGGATCAAAACCGCAACAAAACCTAACCCCTGGCACGATATTCGCGACGGAGTAACCCCGGAGGAACACGTGGTCATTCGAGAGCAAGACGCGCAAATGATGGCCACGGTATTCTCTTGGCGATCGGATAACTCGTGTATTTCCGCACCCCCGCCTGAAACCACTAAGCAGGTAAGTACGAAACAAATCGATGTACGGATATGGAATCAATCGTATGAGTTGCACGTGCCCCAGTACGTACCTGATGAGATCCATCACCTAATCGCGGACATTCTAAAAGAATATCAGGGAGCGATTAGCGTGACGGACACAGACATCGGACTATCGCTAGTCATACAACACGAGATTCAAACCGGAAACCACCCCCCGATCCACTGCAAACCCTACAGATATTCCCTAGTAGAATGGAAAACGGCGCTTCAACGGATTCGGGAGTTCAAAGCTAATGGTTGGATCGAACGCGCCACTGGGTCGTGGTCATTCCTGGTAGTATTAGTACCGAAGAAGAACGGGTGGATTCGCATTTGCATCGATTATCGGAAATTGAATAATATTACGATCAAAGATGTGTATCCCCTTCCCCGGATTGATGATTTGCTGGATGCGATTGGATGTGCTAATTATTTTAGTAAGTTTGATATTCGTCACGACTTCCATCATATTCTGGTTAAGGAAGAAGATCGACCAAAGACGGCCTTCGTGTTGTTTGAAGGAACGTGGCAGTGGTTTCGGTGTCCTATGGGGATTTGCAATGCGCCTGCCACGTTTCAACGGGCTATGAATGTGACGTTTCAGAACTTCGTCAACAAGACGCGGCTAACTCAGGGGATGATCAACTTCTGCATCATCGTGTATATGGACGACATACTGGTCTACTCAGAAACCTGTCATGGACACGCGCAACACATTGAGTGGACGCTGGGAGCTCTGAGAGATGCTGGGTTCAGAATTGCGCTCGAGAAGAGCGAGTTTTTCCTATCGGAGATCTCGTTCTTGGGCTACGTGGTGACGCGGGGAGGAATGCGGTCAGATTCGAGAAAGGTCGCGGCGGTGAAAGACGTCCCTGGGACTGGTGTCGTACTATCGTCGATTCATCAAGGGATTCGTCGCAATTGCGCGCCCCCTAATGAACTTGTTATGAAAGGACCAGCCTCTCAGTTGGGACGATGAGTGCGAACAGGCCTTCGCCACCGTCAAGGACGCCCTGGCCACAACACCTATTTTGATCCGTCTGGACCCTACGAAGCAGTTCATTCTCATTACGGACTGGCAACCGGAGGCAATTTCCGCCATTCTTGCGCAAAAGGGGAACGACGGCCGAGAACACGTCATTGAATACGCATCGCGCACGGTGCCAGACGAGTGGAGGAACGATCGGCCCCGCAAGGCGAATGTTACGCCGTGGTCCGGGGAATCCAGCACTTCCATCCGTATCTTTAAGGACAAAAGTTTCTTCTAGTGACTGATCACGAGCCGCTGCTGGCTCTGAAGAGGCTCACTAACTACACCGGTATGATTGGGCGTTGGGCAGTGCGCTTGCAGGAGTACGACTTCGATATCGTCCATCGGAAGACAGAGAGGCACGGGAACGCGGACGGATTAACACGTCTGCATCGACCAGCTAAGGTACCTAAAGGCGAAGAAATCACTCCGTGGAAGAAACCGGAATCGACCAACGGACCCAAGTACGGATAGGTGGCAGTTCTTCCACGTGGAAAGAAGCAGACAATTAGCAATGGGGGACGGAGGTAATCCTGCGACACCTTTCTCTCCCCTCTCACCTTCATCTTTTCTCTCTCTTTCCGACAAATTTTGTTATTTTTGCGAGGCGATTTCATGCGTTTACTCTGTCCCTATGCATCCTAGTGGGGAAGGTTATGTCGAATGGGTAGACTGTCGGCAGTGTGTCGTGAGAGCCCATGGCTCTTGCATCCAGTATGGAAATGGCAACAAGCCTTGGTTGTGCCCCTTGTGTCGGGCCGATAAGATCCTGACCGAGGCTCGATTTTTCGATGCCACGTCGGAAGGGTTAGAAAAGACCCGAAAATTTAGAAGGGCCGAGGTATGGACGGATATTGCTTTAATCGCCATCTTGGTAGGTAACCCCCTCCAGGACTTCACTAAGGAGGACCGGAGGAGGGCCAATGAAAGGGCTCGGGACTATCGCTGGAACGAGGGTCGGTTAGAGAAACGGAAGACGGATGGTAGCGGGATTTGGATGATAGTGCCACACCCGTTCATAAGGTATGACTGGGTTAAGACGGCACATGAGAAAACCACAACCCATTTTGCTGTCCGAATTACGTAGGCGGCAATCGACAAAAACGAGTGGTATTGGTCCAACATTCGTGACGATGTTAAATTCATCGTCCGGCACTGTCAGGTCTGCGCTGCCGAGAAAGCGCCGATTCAACCGCCAAGGTCGATAGTGTCGACGGTAGTTGAACGGGCCTTTTAGAGGGTTAGCATGGACACTACCGATATTGTAGTACCCCCTGGACCTAATAGTTGTGAGTATTCAATCCTAATGATATTCGTAGACCACTTCTCAAAATGGATCGAGGCATATCCGTGTCATACGCGACAGGCGGTTGAAATCGCGCGATACGTCAACCGTTTTGAATGCATTAGGACACGGAGGAGATCCTGACCGATAATGGGGTAGAATTCAAAAGGGAAGTTTTGAGGAATCTGGTCATACACGGTGTCGCCATACGGAATACTGCACCCCACATGTCACAGTCTAACGGGCTGGTAGAGAATTCAAATAGGGCGATTAAGACTGCACTGCGACGAAACATCGCGGCACGAGATCCGAGACCCTGGCCCGATATCGTGGATCACATCCCGGCGGTCCATCGGGGACGCCTCACGAATCGACGGGCCTGCCCCTTTCAATTAAGAACCATTAGTGTGGCTTGCGTTTCAATACCGAGCCTCCCGGACAAATCGTCGTTGAACCGACGACCCACGAGGGCCATGGTTCGAGACAGGGCCAAGCGACACCTAGAGCTGATGGAGCGGTCCCTTCCCCGATTAGCCCGAAAGCGCCAGAAAATGACGGAATTGGCCCAAGGCCGACAGGTCCGTAGCTACGAGGCCCGAAATAGGAATGCGGGTCCACAACCCTAGTACAAATTAAGGGACATCGTGCAGGTAAGGAAATGTGCTCGCCAGGGTAAGCTAGTTCCACGATTCCTCGGACGATTTCGCGCAGTCGAGCTTGGTCCGAACGGAGTGAACACGGTGCGGCTCGTGCCTGAGGTCTCCGGCAGCCGATCAGCTCGCCCGATCACTCGCCACATGTCCTATCTACGGCCTCTTCCTTCCTTTCCATATCCACCTTCGTCCAGTACGGAAGAGGACGACACTTGCTTATCGCCCTCTTCTCTTTCTCTGTCCCCTTCTCCTTCTGGTACTCCGTCCCCATCATCATCACCATGAGTTTTTCCACTGAGCAGGTTCTCGGTGAGCACATGCCGGCGCCACGTGGCGATATTTCGGCGATCAAACAACTCCATCATCCACGGATCAGTCCGGATCTTCTCCGATTTGCGCAGTTCTTCAACACCACTGGGGTGTACGTGGCGGCGGAGTTTCGTTTTGCGGCCCATAGCAGGGCACTAGTGTTGGCAGAAGCATTGGCTTATCGACGGCTTTTGGCGCCAGGAATCAGCCACGTGTCTACAATGGTTGTCTTCAGCGGGGACATCAGCACGGTGGATCCTGCGAGGCATACGGCCATCCGGACCTCGCTAAGGGAGTGGGGTGAACAGTTAGCGCAGGTGTGGAGCCGGTGGCTTGCGCGGCATGGCGACAACCTCGTCGTCACCGACAACATCGACGTCGGCGGGCTCCGCACGTCCCGACACGAGCCGGAGGTAGCGCTCCCCGAGCTCGTCCCTTTTCTGCGCCCTCAATGAACCGGTCCACCTTCGCCCTCCCCTCTCTCTTCCCCACTTTCTGGCCATCTGCTATCCATCCCCGCCTTTCTTTCTGTATCAAGCCGAGACAGTGGCGGATGTGGTGCGAGCATTACCTCGCCCTTTCGCTGTGCCTGACCGAGGTAGAGCTGACGTGGACACGGGACAGTGAGCATCGTGCCGCGAGGGAGAGTGTGGAGCTGCTAATCATCCAGACCTGGAGAACGGAGGTGGAAGGAGATCTCCGTGGGTTCGTCTTCGGAGCAGTAGAGCCAGGCCATCGGCAGACGATCGTGTGGGAGCTCACGATCCCCTTTGCACAGCTGGTCGACGACCTCCCCCTCGACATCATATCGCAGTGTGACGAGAGCCGAGTGCCGCACATTCTTTCACGAAGATTAACGCCGTATTTACAGTGGTCAGCCTGCTTAGAGGATCGAACGAGAGGTGGCAGCTACCCATCGCGTGTGGAGTATCTGAACCCCCAGGGGATCATCGACGTCCTTTTCTTTCAAACTCGAACAACGGTGGAAGAGGAAGCGGAGGTGGAAGACGAAAGCGAAGAAGAAACCTCAGAGGAGGAAGGAAGCTACAGTGAGTACAACGAGGAAGAATCGAGGGCGGAGAGTGAAGAAGAAGAAGAAGATCAGCTGGAGGAAGAGGAAGGATTTGAGTGGGAGACACTGGGTGAGGAGGCGGATCGTGCAGAAGCTCAGGAGGAGGATCCCGAGGCGGCAGCACGACGGAGAGGAGATCGTGACCAGGAAGCAGCCGCTGGAGTACACGAGTGGTGCGGATCTGCCAATCCCGAGCGACCCGACCAAGGATCCCGAGCCGCCCAAGAACGACGATGGGGACCCTACTGTCGAGACTTCGAGCGCACCGGCGCGGAGGCGACGGAGCCAATCCCCCTCCCCCTCCCCCAGTCCCCCAGTTCAAACACGTGTTGATGCGGGGCATCGGGCTTCGTCCACGGTCGTTATCCCGTCGTCCCCTTGATTACCTCACCCTCCGCCAGATCACCGTCCCGATCTCCTTTCCCCACAACCCCTTCCCCACCGGCACCTTCCGTCACTTCTACGCTACCCGCCTCGCTGTCACGGTACATCCGCACCCTTCTACTCGGTGCGCCACCCCTGTCTTTTGCCTCCATGACCTTCTCTTCAGTGCCGCGTGGCGAGACCACAACATGATCGAGGCCTATTGCATGATCACATGGACTATCCCCACGTGTGAAAGCCATGATCGATTCCGGACGGCCCTCCTTCATACTTTCGCAACCCTCTACCCCGACTATCTCGCGTCTCTCCCCCATGCTGGTACCCGCTTCCCTCGCTTCCATCGGATCGTCCGATATCAGGAGCTTCCGGTGACAGTCACGGGAATTGAAAGCTTCCTACCCCCACTCCCGACTGACCCACCCCCTCAACACGCCCCCATGTACCGCCTTCCCTTTCCTCTCCCTACTGATGCGCGATTGCATGACATGTGTCGCAAAGATGGCACGAGCGATCCCCTCCTCCGATGGATAGAGCCCTTCCTGGGGAACTTGTAGGATAGAGCCACGTACGCCACAATGGATGACTTCCACACTCTTTCACACGGTAAGTGGCACGTAGAAAGCTCTGCGTTGTCGATCGTTTAGAAAGATCGACACGTGTCGTAATGTCAAGCAAGCGAGAGCCTGCTTCAAAATTGGAACCCCCTGGGCGTCACATATGTGACGAACCACTTTCTGTGCGATGACAATGAGGGGTCCTAAGATGGGAAGGTTGGGCCAATTACGGGAGATGGGATCGACGGGAAATTGCATCGGTGTCCTTGTTTGTTCTTCTTTTTACGTCGCTTCTTTTTAGATAGCTGGGGCCAAAGTTGGGCAAGTCCCGGGATGGTCGATTGAGTGGCTGGCGCGCCGACGGAGGCGTGATTAATAATGATTGATGTTGCTTCTTTCTTGTTCTATTGTCGGGTTTTCGGAGCGGTAATCGCGCGGGAGTTTTTGCTTCTTTCTTTTTAAATTGATTTTTTTCGAATCTTGTCGAGCCTCGATGGCTCTCGAAATTTCGGATTTTCTTCTCGGGATTTGTGCTTTAATAAAGTTCTTTTTGCATTTTTGCGTTAGTTAGGAATTTAGGAATTCGGAATTTCCTTTTACCGCGCGGTGCTCTTTGCTCTCGCGTTTCTTTCTGCGGCTGCAACGAAGCTCTGATTAGTTGGCGCCCTTAATCTTGCGTGTAACTGTAATTTTGGGCGGGGCGCCCTTGTAATTGTATCTTTCTTCATGAGCTTCGTCTTTCCCGCCCTCTCTCTTCCTTGCTGTGTCCAATTGGTCTGCGGGCTGCATGATCGGATTGATGCGTGGAGAGTGGCTACGTCCCCCACGCCACGATCTGGCCATGCAGAATGTAGGCACTCCCTCCCCTTCTTCTTTCTAAGTCTTTGCAATTCCGTGTTCTTCACGCATGCATGCACGCTATAAATTTCGGATGCGCGATTAGATAGCTCTCTTAAAACAGCTGTTGGAAGCTCGGGGTAGCGCGATCAGTGAGGGTCAGCTCATGAGCGAAGTAAGAGGTGAGTTGAAGTGGGAGTTGGGCGACCCGACGAGCTGGTGCCGAATGTACGGGGTTGACGCGCGGGGCTACGATGGACTGTATCGCGCGGGCGAACCTGATGGGTATAGGAGGACTAAGTGGGGTGACAACTTCGTGGGTTGGTGCGTGACGACGGACTGTCCTCATCGGAGAGAGAGAGAGAGGGAGATGGATGGGCGTGGAGTTGCAAATTTCTTTGTCTTTTCCTTTGCTTTTGTRTATAAGTTTTGACTTCGGCTCGGGCAATTCGCCCTTATTTCTTCTTCGGCATCTTTGTCTCGTTGTTGGCCCTCGTGTGGTGTCTTATTCAGTTTCGATCCTTCCTCGTTTGTGTATATTGAATGGACGAAGTCCTGATGGAATAATACGCTTGTCGTTTTTGTCTGATCATCATCATTGCTTGTCACTTTGATCTGCTGTCGCCACGATAAGAGTTTGACAATTGTTGTGGTGTCTGATATGTGTGATGTCATTTTTGCATGCTCGAAAATGATTGTTTGCGGGATCGTTGAAGGATTAGATGATTGGGTGGGTGTCTATGCCACGTGGCGATTTTGCATGTAGGACTGAAATCCCACTTTTGCACGAAAGACAGCGAACAGGCTCACACACGATCGAACACCTAGTGTGCGGACGTGTAAGCGCGATCTGATCAATCCGGCCTACACGTGGGCAATTACACGAGTCTGCAGAACCTGCACACAAACGATGACAACATTTCCGCCGGAATGACAAGATATCGTACATCTCTGGGTACCGAGAACTCTGGGAGGAAGAACAACTAAGGCTGAGACATCCGGAATTCCCCCGTCTAACCAAGAACGACCGACTGTGTCCCAGGGACTTTCGGCGCGCCATAACCAGCGACCCGAGGGGTCCCGACTACCCTACTACTTATAACACGCAATATTTTATATCCCTCGGATTCGTCGTTATCGCTACCAATTTCCCTCCCTTCCATCTGCTCCTCCCCTACCACCAACTCACGGTGGTACCGTGGAATTTCATAGCCCCGTATTGGCCCCACACGCCGTGCAGAAATTGCAGATGGCGCGGCAACCGCCGAGCCTCTGGAATTACGAAGCCTAACCATAACGCGCGACATCAATCGCCATGTGTCCACGCCCGGAGGTCCGACCCATAGAAATCGCAACCCTCGCGAGCGAACCTGTCCCGAACCGCCGTCACTAAAACGGGCGGGTCGGACGGCCCAAGATGCACTGCACATGCCATCTCCCTTATGCTACACGACATCGACCGCCATCAGACCGAAAGTAACCCGTCCCTTAGCCTCCTTGCACCTATGCCCTGGAACCTTGCCACAGGAGATCTCAGTTCTGACCTGGGATTCCACCCCCAATTTCCCAACAATCCTTGGCACACTCCTTTTCGCACTTCCAGGCCCACATCCCACTCCGATCAGGAAGTCGCGCCGGGCGTGAGGTTGGGCGTCACAATGTCGCCTTGATGTGTTTGGACCCAAATCCTGTCCTTCATGCACTCTTTCCTGGACGACTCAATGTCAAAGCGTAGGTTCACCAGCTTGGTGTCCGTCTCATCTGCTTTGGGGAGGTGACACTTCAGAATTTTGCCGATTGCTCTCTCCACATGTACATGAATGAACACCATTTCGTCAAGTGGAACTACCGCGGCCACCACCCAAAACGTATCTTGGTCAACTGTCTTCCTCCAATCCCTGAGCTCCGCTCGAGTCATTCATGGCTTGAAATCCGTGTGATAAATAACTCCCGCCAGCTCTACAAAATCAGTTCTCTTAGCTAGCATCCAATTGGTAACCTCTTGAGATCTTGGGATGTATGAAACCACATTAGGAGTCTCCACTTTTATCCTGCCCCGCTTGAAGTCTTGACCAAAGAGTTCGTCGCTAATCCAACCATCTTCGAATGCCCGAATAGCGTCCTCCTTCACCCTCCTCGACAAGAATCTAGCTCCCTCTCGAAAGATTACCGTGACCATCCTTCCTTTGAGCCATTTCACCTTAACTTCATCCACCGAGTTGTTCAGAGTGAATTTCACTTCTCTTCCATTAACTTCCATGAGGCCCGGGTCTATGTCCATCGGGACAATACCCTCCTCATAGTAGGCTCTAACCATTTCCAAAACTCGTTCTTCTTCCAGCCGATAGTCTCCAGGGACTTGACTCCTTGCATCTGGATCGATACCTCCCTGGGGGGGAAGGATCAACTTCCATCTTGGTTGGCTGTCAGCTACACTTAGAAAAGACACCTTCTCCTATTGCGGAGGGAGGGATTAGCTAAATACCAGCAAAGAACTCCGTAAAGAACGTTTTAACGGTAACAACAAGGATATAGGGGTAGGACGGAGCAATCTAGTTGCTGACGTCACCAGCTATGGCCTCCGCCATAGTCCCTTGACGAGGCAAGGGCATTGGGGCGTCACCCACGGCAGTCCTTCCACGACGGAAATCGCGCTGCCAACCAGGCCTGCCGAAGCAAGCGGCGTTACGACCGAGCGCTAACGCGCCAGCGGTAACGACGGTCCGCCCCCCTATAGTGATTTTTCCCGCTTAGAGGAATGCGAGAAAAAACCTGAAAATTTGAGTGCTCACAAATTTTATTGTGATCTTTCTAGGATAAATATTAAATAAATCTATAAAAAGCATTTCAACCGCGAAATAGATAGTCATGTTCCACTTTTTCCATTCAGCCTCTCTCTCTCTCTCTCTCTCTCTCTCTCTCTCTCTCTCTCTCTCTCTCTCTCTCACACACACACACACACACACACACAAAAAAAA